TGTGTGTGTAGTGTGGTGTGTGTGTAGTGTGGTGTGTGTAGTGTGGTGTGGGTGGTGTGTGTGTAGTGTGTGTGTGGGTGGTGTGTGTAGTGTGGTGTGTGTAGTGTGTGGGGGGGGGTGGTGTGTGTGTAGTGTGGTGTGTGTGGTGTGTGTGGGTGGTGTGTGTGTAGTGTGGTGTGGGTGGTGTGTGTGTGTAGTGTGGCGTGGGTGGTGTGTGTGGGTGGTGTGTGTGTGTGTAGTGTGTGTGTGGGTGGTGTGTGTGTAGTGTGGTGTGTGTGTGTGGTGTGTGTGTGGGTGGTGTGTGTGTAGTGTGGTGTGTGTAGTGTGGTGTGGGTGGTGTGTATGGGTGGTGTGTGTGTAGTGGTGTGTGTGTGTAGTGTGCGTGGGTGGTGTGTGTGTGTGGTGTGTGTGTAGTGTGTGTGTGGGTGGTGTGTGTGTAGTGTGGTGTGTAGTGTGGTGTGGGTGGTGTGTGTGGGTGGTGTGTGTGTAATGTGGTGTGTGTAGTGTGTGTAGTGGTGTGTGTGGGTGGTGTGTGTGTAGTGTGGTGTGTGTGTAGTGTGGGTGGTGTGTGTGTAGTGTGATGTGTGTGTAGTGTGGTGTTTGTTTAGTGTGGTGTGTGTAGTGTGGTGTGTGTAGTGTGGTGTGTGTGGGTGGTGTGTGTGTAGTGTGGTGTGTGTAGTGTGTGTGTGTGGTGTAGTGTATAGTGTAGTGTATGGTGTAGTGTATAGTGTAGTGTAGTGTATAGTAGTGTAGTGTATAGTAGTGTAGTGTATAGTGTAGTGTATAGTGTAGTCTATAGTGCAGTGTAGTGTATAGTGTAGTGTATAGTGTAGTGTATAGTGTAGTGTATCGTGTATAGTGTAGTGTATAGTGTGGTGTATAGTATAGTGTAGTGTATAGTGTAGTGTAGTATATAGTGTAGTGTAGTGTATAGTGTAGTGTATAGTGTAGTGTAGTGTATAGTATAGTGTATAGTGTAGTGTATAGTGTAGTGTATAGTAGTGTAGTGTATAGTATAGTGTATAGTAGTGTAGTGTATAGTATAGTGTATAGTAGTGTAGTGTATAGTGTAGTGTATAGTGTAGTGTATAGTAGTGTATAGTGTAGTGTATAGTGTAGTGTATAGTAGTGTAGTGTATAGTGTAGTGTATAGTAGTGTAGTGTATAGTGTAGTGTATAGTAGTGTAGTGTATAGTAGTGTAGTGTATAGTGTAGTGTATAGTGTAGTGTATAGTGTAGTGTATAGTGTAGTGTATAGTGTAGTGTAGTGTGCGTGGTGTGGGTGTAGTTAGGTCGACTCAGCCTCTAACTTTTTCCCACTGCATTGGTTTAATAATCATAGTGATAAATACTGCACTGTATATCACTTATGTAAGGGTGTAAGCGTTTCAGGACCCTTGTTTCCTCTCTCATATTTTGAGATATTTGCTGTCAAATTCCTCCCGTCTGTGAGTGGCACGTGGGTAGGAAGGCGGAATGCTCGAGCGGGAGAGAAAACCCCCAAGCATGCGAGGGGAGTGACGCTCAAACGAAGCACAGAAGAAGACAACTATAACGCTGCTGCAAATCCACATCATCTTCTGTTCGCCACACAGCACCCCCAAAAGCCCCATTACAACACAACACGTGGCGTCCCCCTTAGGGGAGCCTCCCTTGCCATCGCAGATACGAGAACTGGGCCCCGATTCCGCTCAGCTTCCACAGATCTGACACGATCAGCCGCACGCATGTGCGAGGTGGCTCGGTCACACCTCTCGTCTGTTATGTCCGAGCTCGTTGCTAGCCCCACCTCTCAGTATCCCTCCCGCCCCCCGCCTCTGCTGTATCTCGTGTGCGCCCAGACCCCGACACAGAGCGTGCATAATTTATGATCAGATTCTTTATTCTGCCGCTAGATTAATAGCCGAACGCCACCCACACGCCCACCCCTCCCCATTCCACTCAATTACTAACGATTCGCATTTCATTTCTCCCTCTGCCCCCTTTGTCAAGCCCCAACCCTGGTCCACGTGTCTGCCATGCCCTCTCGGCCAAAGAGCTGCTCGTGAATATTTTAAGCTGACGGCACAAAAGAGAGTTCAGTTTCTTGCACGCAAGAGTGTGTGGGAAGCCGGAGTCTGGCTTGTCACTGTGTTATGGACTGGTGTAATGCTCAGCGTTGTCTTCATCATCATCAGCCAGGGGCAATCCACTGCTGGATGATGGCCTCCTCGGGCCAACGCGAGCTCTCATGATCCTGTGACGTGATAATCTGCCCAGCGCCTGGACGTGATCTGATTTTCACCGTTCCGTCTCTTCGGTGAGAAGATTTCTTGTTGACGCATTCCGTTCCTTGGCTGCCACTGTTATTATTCTTGACCATTGGCTTTCATCCCATCTAAGTGATGTTCCCTGCCCGAGCCAACTCTTAGCAGGTTGAATTATGCCATTAACGCAGCGCTTGCTGTTTCACTGCAAGAGAACCCACCTTCTTGGGGGTACTCTGCCAGGATCCTTGGACAGCACTGATCTCTGTAGCTCTCTTTCAGGAGCGAGCTGGCCACAAACGTTCGCCCAACGGAGCGGCTTATCACGTGTACATTTATCGCAGCCCAATACTCTTAAATGCGTGTTTCTAAATATGGAGGGAAATGCCGGAGGACCCGGAGAAAAATCCATATGACCATGGGGAGAGAGAGACATTTAAACTCCAAATATACAGCCGTCAGAGTTGGGATTGAACCCACAGCCTCCTGTATACCAGGCGAGGTAATTAACATCTCACGACCACGTTCTGCTCTAATATGCACTGATGCCTACTTTATTGAGGGTGATATTGGCGACAAAAAATAAAGAGTGATTTATCGATTGAAGATTTTTTTCAGGAAGGTCCTGACAGTTTTTTTGCAGTAGGGGGCGATGACAGATGTGTATAATCCCAACCGAGTAATTTATAGGTAATTTTCCAAATTTGTAAAACTTTACACCACGACAAATGGTCTTTACAACATAAATTTGGCATAAAAATTATTCAAATTGTACCACTAATTTTGCTATTTTTTCCTGGCCTAAACAGCATAAAAAAGTGGTTTCACTATCATTTATAATCCTGATTGAGTAATATATATCACTAGAAATTAATCGGTGGGTCATTGATCTCCTACGTTGAAGATCATGAAGCAACTGATGAATTTCTAGCGATATATATTACTCAATCAGGATGATCTCCTACATTTAAACGTTGGAGACCATGTCCCGCTGATGAATTTCTCGTGATATTCTAGAAGGGGCTATACATAAATAAATGGCTGAGTCACTGCTTTGGGTGGTCACCAGATATGACTGCAGAGGATGATTGCTTTTTACTCCTATTGCAGTCAGCCTAAAGTTCTACATTGCTTTAAGTCTTGTGTGAAACACTTACAGATATACGATCCCCGTCTTCGCTGGAACCATGTAATTTGCCTTTCGTGGCATGCAACTCTAAAGCCGACGGAAAGTGGGCAAGGCGCAGAAGTTCGGCGTGTAGATCATCAACGTTCACGCAGTAATAGAGAAACGGTCAAGCATTTTCAGTTCATCTGCAAGAAAAAAAAATCCCAATCATCGATGTGCCTCTCTGAAGTCCCTAGAGAGGAAAAAAAATATATATCTTTTCACTTTTGTAACCCCGAGCGATTTTGATCCACCCGCTCCTCGCTCGCTCCACTCCACTCCAGCGGCTAACGTGCGTGCCCCTCGCCACGCAGCAGGAGGATCTCTCGATCACGGCACCGCTCGCAACGGCGGGACGCGGTCCCTAGCCGAAACGTCAACGCGGCTCGGCTCGTTAGTTCGGGCTTCGCCCAGAGGGCCCTGCGACTCGGCCGCCTCGCACCGCCGTCAGCCGTCATCATCCGCGCGCCACGGTGGCTAGGAGATGTTACCTTCCTCGCCCGGTGTACAGGAGGTCGTGGGTTCGATCGATCCCGACCCTGACGCCTGCTGCTGCTGTATATTTGGAGTTCTACCCGCGGTCGCGTGGATTTTTCTCCGGGTCGTCCGGTTTCCCCCCCCCTCCTCCCCCCACGTTTAGAAAGGCACGTGTTCGAGTATTTGGCTGCTAGAAAGTTACACGCGATAAGCCACTTTGTTGAGCTCTCATTTGTGGCCAGGTCGCTTCTGAAAAAGAGCTACATAGCTCAGTGGGCCTTACCTGTTAAAATAAAATGAATTGTACAGGGACCCAGGCCGAACCCCCGACGCTACCTTCCCAGTGCATCCTTTGCAGGAGTCCTTTGGCGAGCACATTGACTCGGGACTCAATCGCGCGTGCGATTCGTCGCACACAATTGCGACACTTGCTCGACCGTAAAGGTCGCCCTTCACCGTTTTCAAATTTCTCGACAGGACTTGCATCCCACCTTCCTCTCTCCTCTCTCTAGTGTCCTCTGCTCTAGCAAGCAAAGTCTTCTGTCGAAGCCGACCAGTCAATCTTCGCTCAGTGAGAAGTTCGTCCTTCTCATCGGCTGCCCCTGTAGTCTGCAACTCCCCCCCCCCCCCCCTCCCACAACCCCAGGCATCTGTGCTGCCTACTCTCTGCCCCGGTTCAAGTCCACACTCAAGACCTTTCGATTCTACTCTACCCATGACCGACTTTCGCCACTGCGTGCTCTCTGCTATGTAGAAGGAGCCACTCCCCGAAACCTCTCCTATTATCTATGTAAATTTCCCTTTAGGGCAGCGCTATTGACAAGCGTGCCGAGGTTTTGCTGTGTTCGCGTGCCACCTTCAGTGCAGTATCACAGAGAAAAGAAAGAAACGCGCCGCAAGTGTGAGCCACCTCTTTCCCCAGTGATCCACGCAACCCCAATGTTGTGTTATCGCCGTTCGCTTTGCAGCATCTTGACACCAGGGTGCACTCAGTTCGCTCCGCAAATCCACGTCGGTTCGCGACGTGGGCACGCACGTCGATCGCGGGGGTGCGTCCGCTGTCGCCCCCCCCCCCCTCCCCCCCCCCCCCCCCCCCCCCCCCCATTTACCGGTGGGGCACTGCGTGGGCGTTCCTGGGCTGGACGACTGCAGGCTGATTCCCGGGGGCGACTCCGCGCAGCTCACTTGACCCTGGGAGATGTGCAGCTCCTGCATGACCATACTGCACAGAGAGGGGGGACAAAAAGTGCCTTTGGTGTCCTCATTTCTAGTGTTGGCACGGAAGGCAGAAGAGCAGCAGCAGAATCTGAACCGGGCAGAAATTACCCCCCGATGGTGTTAAAGGGTCGCCGTGGTGGCCACGCGTTAACTCCCTCGTCTGGCATGCAGGAGGTTGCGGGTTCGATCCCTTACCCTGACGCCTGCTGTGTATTTGGCGTTCGCGTGTTCTCCCCGTGGTCGCGTGGATTTTTCTCATCCGCGTTTTGAATCGACGTGCGTTCAGAGTATTTGGCCGCGTGATAAGCCACTTCGTTGAGCTGTCATTTGTGACAGCCAGGTCGCTTCTGACAAAAAAAAGAGCTCTCTAGCTCTAGTGGGCCTTGCCTGGTATAAAATAAAATTAAGTTTTAATGGGGCGTCGAGAAGTGCCCAGTAACCGTTTGTCTATGCCGTGGTTGACTGGCCAAGCGTGGCCAAGACAGATCCACCCAGAGAGTGAGAGAAAGAAATCCCACCAAGCTCTCCACGCTTGCCCACTGTATTACAAAAAAATCAAGAGAGAGAGAAAATGTTTTTACGCCTTTCAGAGCATTATCAGGGGAAATGCAGAATTTCCAAAAAAGTTAAATCTGGTGTGGTGAACGTATTCTGTGCCAACCGAACATAGGATGAATGTTCGCAAACATGTACGCGGCCATGATAAATGGGGGTTCTGTTAATAATATATTTTCTCTCCCACAGATATGTATGAATTACTTTCATGTACTGAGCTAAACAAAGTTTCTTTGCCACCTGCGTTAAAATGTGTGTTTTTGTATATATGTACCGTGTCACATTTTATTACTTGCCAATTCCTTTTTTTTTCAACAACAAATATCACCGTTGTGCTTAGATACGCACCTGGTATTATAATAACTCTTAAGTGCTCTGGTTGAAATGTCTCTGTGTTTTGAGTTTTTAATAGCAAGTGACCGAATATTCGTCAAACATTTAAGTCACTGATGAACCACACTCAGGTTTGGTACATATGGAATAAATCATATTTCTGTTGTCTAAATTTAAGCCCTGTTATTCACAACGGTGACTTGAAATGGCCTAAAAAATCGCCACCATAACAGCTTTAAAAAAAAGATTTTTGCAACGATGTTAGAGAGTGTCGTACAATTGTTGAAGATCAATACATTCGAAACTTTGGTTTTCGGTCAATTTAACATCACAATTTCAAGAAATGAAATGGCCAGGTTAGAAATCAGCAGGTTTGACCAAACAAAGACATGATGCCTAACATTGCCAAGTTAAACAAGACTAATCTACGGTTACCATAATGCACCTTTTTTAAAAATTATATATACAGTTTATAATAAAGTGTTCACTGAACAACCGAAGCTGTTCTTCCTCCGTTGAAGGAGCACAGACCACAGTGGTTCACTTTGCATTCCTCAAAGTGTTCCAATAAACACACGGAACAGTGACCTATGAAGCCACTTACGTAGGGTGCGAAAGAAGTCAAACATACACCCTCTTGTCTTGTTGGTCACACCGGGATGAGTGCTCGTCATTAGGCACGTTTCCTCAAGACAAACCCCGCGTCTAAGGTCAAATGTTAACAATAATAATTTGCGCAAATGATGAACGCAGGCAGCTAATTCCATTGGTTTTAATAAAGTAATGCACTGCGGTGGGTTTACGCACAAGTTGACATAACAAGCTATAAATGGAAATCATACCGGTCCTTGAATCACACTCCTGGCTTTTCATGTACACGCTGGGCATCGCAACGAAATCTGTGTCATTGTTTTCTTAATCCCTCCTGACCTTGCTCCAAGGGGCCTCTCCGATATTATCTCGCTGCTGCTGTTTGTGCCGCTTTCATCTGCTAATAATAAAGGCACGGAGTGATGCATCAATCCAGTTGGATTATTCACGCTCGCAAAACATACCGACGAATTGAATTGTGTGTGTGTGTGTGAAATTAGAACATTATATGGCCGTGTTGCATTTAAGCCCACGGAGAGCAAACTGCGCTAAGGTGCGTGAGTGGGTGGTGTGAGTGGGTGGTGTGAGTGGGTGGGGTGAGTGAGTGTGTGAGTGGGGTGAGTGGGTGGTGTGGGTGAGTGGGTGGGGTGAGTGGGTGGTGAGTGAGTGGGTGGTGTGAATGGGTGGGTGGGGTGAGTGAGTGGGGTGAGTGGGTGGTGTGGTTGAGTGGGTTGGTGGGTGAGTATGTGGTGGGTGAGTGGGTGGTGAGTGAGTGGGTGGTGTGAGTGGGTGGGGTGAGTGGGGTGAGTGGGTGGGGTTAGTGAGTGTGTGAGTGGGGTGAGTGGGTGGGTGAGTGGGTGGTGAGTGAGTGGGTGGTGTGAGTGGGTGGGTGAGTGGGTGGTTGAGTGGGTGGTGAGTGGGAGGGTGGTGTGGGTGGGTGGTGTGAGTGGGTATTGTGAGTGGGAGGGTGGTGTGAGTGGGAGGGTGGTGTGAATGAGTGAGTTGGTGGTGAGTGAGTGGTGTGAATGAGTGAGTTGGTGGTGGGTGGTGAGTGAGTGGTGTGAATGAGTGAGTTGGTGGTGGGTGGTGAGTGAGTGGTGTAATTGGGTGGTGTGAGTGAGTGGTGTGAGTGAGTGAGTGGCGTATTAGTTGCCCTACTATTTTAGCATCCTACCAGTGCAGAGAGCACATCATGCCTGAAAGAGACCTCAAAATATAATGCAGTTTTATTTTATTTGAACCCAATAACTTTTAATTGAACTGACAACAGCTATGTGGGTGTCCAAGCCAATGTCAGGGACATTTGACCGTCTTTCGACACGGCTTGCCTCTTTCGATTTACTTGCGTCCAACTTGCAACCAGGGATAGCATTCCTTCGCGGCAAATACAAAAAGACATCAGCGCCGTGTAACCATGTGCAATCGGCATCTCCTTACGGAAGTAAACTCATTTATCCGGTGGTGATGCTGCGTCGGCAGTGGTGCACAAGCACACATTACCAAGCACAAAACCTCAACACATTCGTGAATAACACTTGCGCTAAAAAGGGAAAAGTTTACAATGGGCGATGTTTCACCGCACCGCGTGTTGTGCGATGGAGCTTGGCCATTGCCTGACGCGTCGCCTCTGATATCTTCCCCCCCCCCACCCCCCCCCTTTTAACGCCACAGTGTTATTGAGGAATGTGTTGAGTTTTTTTCGTGCGTTGTTCTCGTTGTCAAAGTGTGGCCCGTGGAGTAAATCAAGTTTCCTTCCACGGGCTTAACAAATGGAAATATGAGGTGGTGGTGGGAGGGGGGTCCTTGTTCTGGGCTGTGCCGTGTAAGAGGGGCATGACATTTCGCGACGCCAACATAAACTTTTTTTTATTTTGCATCAGTTTCATTGACATACAGGTGACCGAGGAAAAAAATCAAACTACAGGTAGGAATTATTTTGGGGATGTCACCTCTAACGTCCACCGTAGGTGCGCTGGACTTGTTTCGCAACGTTCATCGCCGACCGCGCTAAAGCGGAGGTGCAGCCGGGGCCCTTACCAGAAGGAGCTGTCGTGAAGGTCATTGGTTTGGCCGCCGGAGTTTCCCGACGTGGCCTGGGATGAGATAGGGAAGAGGTAGTGAGGAGATAAAGAGGTGGGGGAGGTTGGGGATAGCCATTTGGAATGGGAGAGGGGATGAAGGGGTGGGGGGGGGGTGTTAGCCATGTCTTAGATTGATCGAGCAGCAATCCTTTACTTAACCAGACTGATATCCCGATAACAAGTGCTTTTGAACTATGCCCTGTGCCGCATAGAATGTATCGTAATTGAATTTCAGTCATACATTATCATTTAACACCAATGCTAGTTGTTGCACGTTTCGTTTTGATAGGGGGTTGTTGACGATGTTTGAACTATTGCTTTAGATGTGCACCCGACTGGACGTCTGTGAAAAAGGGCTTCGGAGTTCATCGGATTTTTTCCGGGATAAATAAAAGATTCTGATTCTGATCCGTTACCCAGGTCTCCGTTGGAAAAGATACATTTCATCTTAATGGGCTCTCACTTTGTTTAAATAAAGTTGACAATGATGATGACAATGATGATGCCATTGATGATTGAATGACATGTAGACACTTATTCTGTCTCAGATAATTATAATAATAAATTCTAATTTTCACACCTTTGTCAATTCACTCCTGAATAAAGGACTCTTGGTCGTGGATATTTTTGTTTGCCATGCTTCACCATGCTGGTCAGTGTGGGTTGCTGAAGGGGCGGAATCCAGGTACAGGTTCACACATCACCACTGATGTCAGCCGTGGCTGGGAATCAAACTAAGGTCACCGGGTTCACTACGTGAAACCGCTCCTCCAAAAGCTACCAATACACTCCTTTGTAAATACACAGGCTGAGCCACTTATAGATACCCCGCTGATTTCTTATGAGTCTTTTCCTGTCTTATTAATAGGCCATTGAATCCGTGTAGTGAATGATATGGCTCCAACTCTTACATAGGAATAGAATAAGGAAGGTGGTCGCAAGGATTGAGAGACGTGCATCTGTGGCACACACACAAAGACAAAGATCCCCCCTTTAGCCTACATTTTTTTGGGGAAAGTGCGGTTAGCGAGCACCCATGACGGGTGGCAAGGCGCATGAGGAGGTAAGTGGCCAGCACCACGCCCAGTGGCGATGTTTGCATACAGCACCAGGTACTTATTTTGAGGCTGAGTAAGCCTAGAGGAGGCCCAGGACCAGTTCAGATAATCATCGCTGGTGTCGGCCGTGAGCGGGAATCGAATTCCGGTCGCCGGGTTCGTAACGCAGCGTGCTAACAGTCACACCACCCGCTCCTCACACACACACAAATACACTTATTTACACAAAGAGAAAGCTCCCCTGTATATCCTGTAACAGACTGCTGGGGCAAGTTCTGTTAGTCAGCACCAGTGTAGGCCGCACGGCTCACGTACCAAGTACTAATTTTAGGCTGAGTCGACTTAGGGGAGGCCCAGAACCGATTCACATAATCGTCGTTGGCGTTGGCCGTGAGCGGGAAACGAACTCGGGTAGCCGGGTTCGTTGTGCAGCGCCCTAACCAGTAGCAAAGTAGACACACATGTAGCTACACATGTAGTAGTAGCTACGGGCCCCGCACTTTTAAGGGCCCCGCGCTAAATGCTTTCAAGCTATCAATTCCGGGTTCAGTGATTCTGCACTTGCTCTATCACTATAGTACTATACCGCCTTCAACTTTTATGAACGACTGGGTGTTTAAGGTTAGCGATTTCTCATATTATCTGGCTGTACAGCAAATGAAAAAATACAATTGCTTTACCATGCAAGTTTAAAATGAATGTGTTTCAATATATATTTAAAAAAATTTAGGGCCCCTTTACAACATATGCTACAGGCCCCGTACTAGCTTAATCCGGCACTGTCGCTAACCGCTACACTACCGCGCCCTTCCTCCCCCCCCCCCAAAAAACACACACGCAATTTTACGAAACGTACACATTGCTGCGATGGGCAAGACGCGCACGCTAAAACAAAAAAAACGAAGGCTACCGGTAACAGGTAACCGGAGCGGATTGGATCGGTTGGCGTGAATTCGCCAGGGTTCAGGTCAGCTCAGAGGAATGCCTTTCATGCGTTGGGGCGGCAGCTCGCTGGGCCGGCTGACCCCAGCTGACCCGGAGAAGTGATCGCGGACAATGAACTCTCTCCCCCTCCCCCCTGCGCGTGGATCGCTTTACCTGTTTTGTTTGTGGACACGCTTCATTGTTGCTTCTCTTCCCTTTGAAAAGCTCGAAGATGTCAAGTGTGTGTGCGTCTGTGAAGGCCAATATGTGGGGAAAGTATCAGGATTGAGAGTCGAAGTCAATGCGTTTGGTCTAGTCGCGAGTGGTTGATATATTTTTTGAGGTTGCCTAGATGTATTTATCAGCCAAAATACATTTCAGTTTTAAGAAACGCCTTAATATTATTGCCCTTTTGCGGGCATCGCACGTACCCGTCTCTTTGTGTGTAAATGTTTAATACTTAACGAATATTTTACAATGATCATTGAGCGGGGTCGCGGGGGTGGATCAGTAGAAGTTAGCGCACTGCACCTACGAACCCGGTATGTTGAGTTCGATTCATGGCCACAGTTGACATCAGTGGCGAGTGATGTCTGAAGTGGTCCCGTGGGTGAGTTTTAACAAAGCATACTGACCAGCGTGGTGAAGTATGGTCAAACAACCCCCATGATTGACATGGTGTGATGAGGGCTTCTGTCAACAGTAGGTTGACAAAGGTCTGTAAATTATTGTTATTACTAACATATGTTTTGCCTTGAAAAAATATAAGTTAATTATAGTTTTAATATTTTTACAAGTATCTTATGTTTTTATTATGGCCAAGCAAAGACATTCAGTTTTGACCATTTTTAAAATGTTATACTCAATTCTTTAAATCTAATAACATTGTACCCTGCACCTTGTATTTTGACAGATCTTCCTTTCAAAACAACATACTTTGAGTATATATACACAAACACTTCACGCACATGGCAGTAGATGCATGCAATTGTCAGAATAATCTACAAATGTTAAACAAATTATTTGGTGATGCTGCTGCTGCGTTGGCAGTGGTGAACATACACAATTAACACAAAAAACTCAACACGTTTGTAAATTACAAGGCCTAACAAAGAAAAAAATATGTGACGTTTCGGGTAATGGTCCTTCTAAACAAAAAAGTAAGTTATATATTTTTTACGTGCTATGAAGAAGGGCCATTGCTTGAAACGTCGCCTGCTATATATTTCAATTTTGAAGGCGGCGCTATCGACGAAAAAAACTTAGTTGACTTTTTGTTGTTATTTTCAAAATGAAAAAAAAAGGAAGCACACTGTCCAACGCAGAGTGACCCACGCGTATGCATACAACAAACAGCTCGATCAAATCCACGTACTCGTAAATAGCCGCGAGATGATGGCTCAGTATGTTTTGCGTTCTCCGTCGTGCGCACGCTGTGTTCTGTCTCTGGGGATGAATGCAAACGCAGATGCAAATACAGCTGTGGCCACACACGCCTGAGGCACGTGGCAGGTGAACATTGCTAATATGCCAGGGCAGGTGTGCCCTGTCTATTTGAGTGCAAACATTATAAGCTCTTTGATATTATAACTCTGCTTTGGCGATGCGGAGGGGTGGGTGGGGGGGGGGGGGGGTTGCGGGAAATGCTGGAGGTGATCGTGAACTTCATCGTGGCTGGCAGGGCCTCGCAAAGCGCGAATGTGGGCCAGCAGTTCTAGTGGTGACATTGACGCCATCGGCGAGTATGGTACACATTGTATAGGCCGAGTTGACATCAGAACGTGAGAAAGATTATAAACGAGGGGGGAGGGGAGGAGGGGGTGGGGGGGAGGATTCTGGTCCATCCAGCTCACTCCGTTGTGAGCGGCATCAGGAGGGAAAAATTCGTTTGAAGAATGTTCCTCTCTCTTAAATATGAGGCAAGATGAATCCACTCTTTCCCGTGGCAGTGACACCATTGAGCCTTGTAAGAACGATCACAAGGCGGGCTCAAGGGGAACACGAAGCAATCCGATAATAATAATGAGCGCAGAAATCGCCCGCTGTGAGTTCCCTCATCACGCGTTGTAGTTTCGCGCGCATATATATTGATGATGACTGCAGCGAGAGGATATATATATTTCCTCGTAAGTGTAATGTTTCGCACGCGAATTCTTTTTTTTGATTGTGCAATTTTAAAACGAGGAACGCACGCGCTTGAAAACGGGACCATTTTGCGATGTAGCACCGTGCAGTTGTCTGCAAGCGAGGTGATACTGAACGGCACAGCGCAACAGTAACCCCCAGCATGCTTCACATGTCCAGAATTATGCTCGCGCACATTCTGCACGTGGCATTGTGAAAACCACAAGCTGAAAAGAAAAACCTGCTTGGTATTGTGACATTATTAAAATGTAGGAAGCGGAAGGAACAGGTTCACTGCATGCCGGTTTCACAATTGATCCTCATGGCGGTATAACCCGGGGTACCAAATAATAAAAAAATGCCCGAGGCAATTACATATTTTCTTTCTGGGCCAGTATTTTTTCCAGGGGTGTTACTTAACTCCGCGACTGGGATAGCCGATCAATCCGAAATCGGTGCCACACTCCGTGACGAACGAAACGCCAAACATGAGCATGAAAAAAATCCATTATCGAACAATTCAACTTCGAATAGTGCATCGCGCACACCTCGTCGAGATGAGTCGATTGCCTCGTCGCCGACCATCAACAGACTCAAAATGACTGCATCACGGACATTATGCGAGAGCCGGGGTTACTGTGGTACCCCGGGGTGCCGCCATGAGGCTCATTTGTTGGGACTCATCAGAACAGTACAGCCATCAATGCCTTTTGCTGCCATTTTTGAGATAAAATATGAGAGCATCTACTCAGATGAGACTATGGAGACGCTGAAGAGCCTTGAGACTAAGTGGAGCATTTCCTGGCTAAATAAAATCCATTGTCATTCACTACATTTGCTACACGCCCCTGCTGGGCATCTGTGAAGAACAGATTAATAGGTCATCGGATTTCTCCAGGATTAATA